GCCTATAACTTTTTGATTATTGATAATTACAGAGTTATTCCTCTTAGTTAATTGGGTAAATTCTTCATTAATTTTTAGCTCACCTGAGCTTGCTCAGGGTGAGCTTTTAGGATCGATGAATGTCCGTCGTCCGTCGTCCGTCCGGCCGTCCACAATTGCTTGTGAACACTCTAGCGGTCGCATTTTTGCCTCAATCATCATCAAACTTGGTCAGGATGCTTATCTAGTTGAAAGCTCGGATGAGTTCGAACATGGGTCATCTCAGATGAAAAACTAGGTCACAAGAGCTAAAAATAGAAAAACCTTGTGAACACTCTAGAGGTCACATTTTTGACCCAATCTTCATCAAACTTGGTCAGGATGTTTGTCTAGGTGATAGCTCGGATGAGTTCGAACATGGGTCATCTCGGATGAAAAAGTAAGGTCACAGGAGCTATAAAATAGAAAAACCTTGTGAACACTCTAGTGGTCACATTTTTGAACCAATCATCATCAAACTTGGTCAGAATGCTTGTCTAGTCAATTGCTTGGATGAGTTCGAACATGGGTCATCTCTGATGAAAAAACTAGGTCACAGGAGCTAAAAATAGAAAAAAAACCTTGTGACCACTCTAGTGGTCACATTTTTGACCCAATCATCATCAAACTTTGTCAGGATGCTTGTTTAGATAATAGCTCGGATGAGTTCGAATATGAGTCATCTCTGATAAAAAACTAGGTCACCGGAGCTATAAATAGAAAAACCTTGTTAACACTCTAGCAGTCACATTTTTGCATCAATCATCATCAAACTTGGTCAGGATGCTTATCTAGTTGATAGCTTGGATGAGTTCGAACATGGGTCATCTCGGATGAAAAAAGTAGGTCACCGGAGCTAAAAATAGAAAAACCTTGTTAACACTTTAGCGGTCACATTTTTGCATCAAATCATCATCAAACTTTGATCAAGATGCTTGTCTAGGTTAATAACTCGGATGAGTTTCGAACATGGGTCATCTCGGATGAAAAAACTAGGTCACAGGAGCTAAAAATAGAAAAACCTTGTTAACACTCTAGTGGTCACAATTTTGACTCAATTGTCATCAAACTTGGTCAGGAAACTTGTCTAGGTCATTGCTGGGAATAAATCGAACATGGGACATCTCGGATGAAAAACTAGGTCACAGGAGCTAAAAATAGAAAAATATTGTTAACACTCTAGTGGCTACTGTTGTGATCCAAATATTTCTGTTAATTGGTCTGAAAGTTTGTTTTGATGATTTCTAAGTCAAGATCGAACATGGGTCATCTTGGATGAAAAACTAGGTCACACCGCCCAAATATGGAAAAACCTTGTTAACATTCTAGTGGTCACATTTTCGACTCCATTATCATCAAACTTGGTCAGAATGCTTGTCTAGGTAATTGCTTGGATGAGTTCGAAATCGCATGTGAAACTAGTTCACCGGAGCTAAAAATAGAAAAATCTTGTTAACACTGTAGTTGCTACTGTTTTGATCCAAGTATCCTGGAAATTGGTCTGAAAGTTTGTTTTGATGATTTCTAGGTCAAGTTTGAATATGTGTCACCTGGGTAAAAAACTAGGTCGCACTGCTCAAATATGGATAATCCTTGTTAACACTGTAGTGGTCACATTTTTGACTCACCTGTCATGAGACTTGGTCAGAATGCTTGTCTAGGTAATTGTTTGGATGAGTTTGATAATTCAGGTGAGCGATCTAGGGCCATCATGGCCCTCTTGTTTATCTCTTAAGTTCATTCTCTAGTGACACTAAAAAGGATGTTTACTCAAACAAGGACTTACTAGTTACTAGTTTAATTTAGTTTTAAATAACTTGATTGGAAAATAAAATAAGCACAGTTCATCATCAAAGCAGTTTGAACTGGTTCAGAATGTGTTTACTTCAGAAATTATATATGTAAATGACATGACAGGTTTTGATTGATGATCAAGTGGTTAATTGAATGGGAGCATGCTACGTTTTGAATTTAAAGCTGCAATTGCCTCCAGATATAAGCCAAAATATTTAAAAAAAAAAAAAATAATAATAATAATAAGAAAAGTGAAAAGATTCAAGTAATAATTTACATGTTATGTATGGTTAATGATTGATTAAGCAGACTTTATCACCATATTTCTACTGTGTGCTAATTATGCAGTGAGGTCTATTTTAGCATATTTTGACATCTTTTTGCTAATTTACATAGATTGTAAGTGCCATTTGCAATGTGACAGTAAATTGTAACCTTCCTATGTTTACATCACAATATTTTACTTTCAAACATATTTTCAAAATTTTCATGAAAATTATCATGAAACTTAAGAGCCATGCTACTTAAAACTCAATGTGATTTTGTAATCTAATTTCAGAAAGGATATCATTTTGTTTAACAGTTTCTTCACATATTTCAGCTATATTGCTGTTGGCCTTAGTACAATAAACTTGTTAAACTTAAAATTGAGTTATCAGTGATTTCCCAGGTGAAATGTGTACCATGGTCAACATAGTATTTCATGGTTTTTCATATCTGAACATGTTATTTCTTGGTCGTCAGTGAAAAACCATCAAATGCCATGGTCACATCATGGTCTAAGTGCTGAGTATGACCATGTAATAACATGGTCATTCTGCATATCAGTAAACAATCATGAAAAACCATGGTCTACCATGTAACAAAATTACAGACCATGGTAAAAAGCATTACTCACAGTAAATGACCATGAAGTTCCATGGTGTACTATAAACATAATTTTTATGTCAGTAAATACCTATATTAATTAAATAAAAAATATGAAACACTTTTTTTCCTTCCCAAAAGGGATATGAGAGAAACATAAATAATGTTAAAAGAAAAAAAATGTTGACCCTTCTAGGGTTTGAACCCATGGCCCTAAATTTCATTGTATTTAACAGTAATCCTAGCCTTATAATTTGAATACTCTTCAAAGCGGAGGTAAACCCTACCACAATGCAACAGTCCAACATGGCGTCCAAATCCATGTGTGATTGTCAACAGCATAATATATATGTTTTAAAGTGTTTAAACAATGGAATTAATCAATCAGACTTTGCTAACATGTTTCCCAACACCCAGTTTTAATATTTCACAAATGGATTTAACAAACATTATGGAATAAACACTGATAAAGATGCAAACACAAGGAAAATAAAATTATACATGTGGGAAAAGGCGGGAACATAATTTTTTAAAAAGATGAATGGCAAGCACTGTTTGTTTTATATGCAGGCTGGCTGGTTAATATTTATCAGACCAGAACGGATATTTAATGTATGGTACACTGCCAAATGCTTCAAATGACCATGGAATTAGGATCAAGTGACAAAAATCTGGAAACAAAGTGATCCCTCGGAAGCATTTATCACAACAAAATTACATAAGAATTGCAGACTCGGTTTGAAGTCTGGCAAAGTCTACAAATAAAAGTGATCACAAAAGAAACAACATATTAAACATTACACAAAGAATATGCAGGTTAATTAACTTTAAAAGAACATTAGATCAGTGTTTGCCCATGTAAAAACTGCACACTCTCAAATTCAGTCAAGATATTCATAGTTTTATGTATACTATTATTATGTTAGTCTACATCATAAGTAATTGACGTTAGTCATGTTACACAGGGGCAGTGTACATAACATAACATGGTCAACCATGGCTAACCATGATCTGCATGTGAGCCATGTTAGTTCATGTTATTTCATGACAAAACATGATACATTTCACCTGGGAATAAATTAACATGGTAGAACATGGTGTCAGTAGACATGATCTACCATGTTATTTGATGGTAGACCATGGTGTTAGCAACCATGGTTAGTGACCATGAAAAGCTGTGGTGCCATTTAAGAAAACATGGTCTACTATGGTAGTTTATGGTTATAGAACCATGAAATACCATTGTAGTTCATGGTAGTTCATTGTTAAATGACCATGAATTTCGCAGGGGTTGTTCCCTGTATTTTACAGACGAATAAAGGCTGTTTCCCCTAGCTCAAAATAGGTATATTTTCCCCTAAACATGCTAATATCTTCCCCTGTAATGCCCTGTGCACTTCTTCACCAGAACCATGATTTAACAGCATCTGACTTACTATATCAACTTGACGACAGAAAACTGTCCCTATAAACTCTGCTATGTACCATGTAATGCATGTTAAATTGAATTGAAATTGAAAATTTTATAAATTGTGTGGGTAAATTCCATTCTCATTGGTTGGAATTTGATTTTCCTCTTTTCTGATTTGGTCCTATATATCAGACTTTATTTTCCCCTTCAGAAAGCCCAAGGTTGTTTTGAAAATTGGAAAAAAATCACTGGTTATATTAGATAGAACAAAGTATTTGTTCTCCTCAAAAGTAGATGATGAAGTGAGAAATATTTCCGCTATTGTACTCATTGTGGCATCAGTGTTTTGGTCTCACTTTGGTTAATAAGTTTCCAGAATTACTTGGGATGTTGGTATCTCAAAACCTATTGAAGGGATTGGATTGAAACTTCACACTGTGTGATCTGTGATTATATCTAACATGATCATGTCACCAGTGTCTATTCTAGGAGGGGGAATGGGGGGATTCACCCATATTTTTGAGATTTTTCAGAGGAAGGGGGAAAATTTTACATAGAGAAAGAAGGAAAAAGATCAACAAATGTAATAAATTCTCATTTTTCGATAAAAATCCCTACTGTTTTTCAAATCTTAGAATAGACACTGGGTCACAGGTCCCATAACTCTGGGTAACCTTTTTACAGAGTAATTTGCCCCTTTCCTTACTGTCAAACACTTAGAAAAATGGAGCACACCATCTAATGGAAAGCTCTTGTTCATTCTATTTCAGTCTTACTGTCTGAAACAAAGAGAATTCTCTGATATACTGTAACAATGTATTTCCTGGTAACATAATGGTATTGTTATAATATAACCAGTTTTTTGTCATCATGTGTCATATTCAATTATTCTCTCATTTTTTTGTTTCAGATAACAGTGACCTGATTGCTTGTACAGTTGTCACCAAAGACAAGTAAGTGGGAAAATAGTCTGCTTTAAAAACACAGAGTAGTATAATAGGCCGTAACCTATGATAAAATGATTCAAAATTTTCTTTATTGTGTAAATAATGCAACCATGAACCACTCATCCCTTGGAAGGATTATTATTGCAACAAATTGTATGACCTTAAATCAATATAATTGTTATGTCACAATTTATTTAATGCCACTGTGTACCAGACTTGTACATAGGGTTGGTTGTTTTTTAGCTCGACTTTTCTATGAAAAGGGGAGCTATCCTACTCGCCCCGGCGTCGGCGTCGGCGTTGGCGTCACACCTTGGTTAAGTTTTTCGTACCACCCCACTTTATTTCAGAAGTATTACAAGTATGGCTTTGAAACTTACCATACTTGTTCACCATCATAACCTCCATCTACAGACAAGAGTACATAACTCTGTAAAGGTTTTTGACAGAATTATGGCCCTTTTTTGACTTAGAAAGTGTATTGAGCTTGGTTAAGTTTTTTGTACCACCTCACTTTATTTCAAAACCATTGGAGGTATTGCTTTGAAACTAACCATACTTGTTTACCATCACGACCTTCATCAACAGACAAGAGGACATAACTCTGTCAAGGTTTTTGACAGAATTATGCCCCTTTTTGACTTAGAAAATACATTGAATATGGGTAAAAATCCACTTATTGCCTTAACCCTTTGAGATATTGCTTTGAAACTTTTAATGCTATTTCACATCATTACCCCCATCTGTACGCAAGAGAAGGTAACTCTGTCAAGGATTTGTTTTAAAAATTAAGGCCTTTTATCGACTTAGAATCTTGGTTAAGTTTTTAGTACCAGTCCACTTTTTGACTGAACTGTTTGAGATATTAATTTGAAAGTTGGAATACTTGTTTACAATCATGATTCCCAAACATGTCCAGGAGAAGGTAATTCTGTCAAAGATTTTATTTGAATTATGGCCCTTAACTGTCAATGTTTTGTATTATAGGCAAGCACTAAAAAACTTAAAAAATCTAAAAAAATTCATTCCTATCCACTTGTTCACTTTACCATAAATTATGTCATATAAACATTGCTGTAATATTCAAGGGTATCAAACAACTAGTTCACTTTAAAAATACAGAGATTCTTGTATTGCCTTTTACTGCAAAAACTTTTTTTATTGGCAAGCAATAAAAAAGTCGAGCGCGCTGTCTTACGGACAGCTCTTGTTTGCCTGTCACTTTCCCACTTTAAGCGGGTACTCCCACTTTCTGCAGCGGTATTTACAAAGATTTTTCTTAAAATAAGGGGTATTTTTACAAATCAAAGGAATCTCCCTCTTTTTAGCTCACCTGTCACAAAGTGACAGGGTGAGCTTTTGTGATCGCTTTTCGTCCGGCGTCCGTCCGTCCGTCCGTAAACTTTTACTTTAAATGACATCTCCTCATAAACCACTAAGCCAATTTCATCCAAATTTCACAGGAATGTTGCTTTGGTGGTCACCTTTAAAAATTGTTCAAAGAATTTAATTCCATGCAAAACTCTGGTTGCCATGGCAACCGAAAAAAAAAACTTTAAATATCTTTTTTTAAAAAACCATAAGAGCTAGAGCTTAGATATTTGGCATGAAAAACATCATTCTAGTGAGTGTGTCTACCAAGTTTGTTCAAATAAAAAGCCCTGGGGTCAAAATTGGCCCGCCCCGGGGGTCATTGATTTTCCCTATATGCATATAGTAAAAACTTAAAAAAATCTTCTTTTAAAGAACCCAAAGAGCTAGAGCTAAGATATTTAGCATGAAAATGTTCTAATTGGTGTCTACCAAGTTTGTTCAAAATAAAAGCCCTGGGGTCAAAATTGGCCCCGCCCCGGGGGTCATTGATTTTCCCTATATGCATATAGTAAAAACTTAAAAAACCTTCTTTTAAAGAACTCAAAGAGCTAGAGCTTAGATATTTGGCATGAAACATCTTTTAGTGAGTGTCTACCAAGTTTGTTCAAATAAAAGCCCTTTGGTCAAAATTGGCCCCGCCCCGGGGGTCATTGATTTTCCCTATATGCATATAGTAAAAACTTAAAAAATCTTCTTTTAAAGAACCCAAAGAGCTAGAGCTAAGATATTTAGCATGAAACATGTTCTGATGGGTGTCTACCAAGTTTTGTTCAAATAAAAAGCCTTGGGGTGAAAATTGGCCCCGCCCCGGGGGTCATTGATTTTCCCTATATGCATATAGTAAAAACTTAAAAAATCTTCTTTTAAAGGACTCAAACAGCTAGAGCTTAGATATTTGGCATGAAAACATCTTCTAGTGTGTGTCTACCAAGTTTGTTCAAATAAAAGCCCTGGGGTCAAAATTGGCCCGCCCCGGGGGGTCATTGATTTTCCCTATATGCATATAGTAAAAAACTTTGAAAAAATCTTCTTTTAAAGAACCCAAAGAGCTAGAGCTAAGATATTTAGCATGAAACATCTTCTAATGGGTGTCTACCAAGTATGTTCAAATAAAAGCCCTGGGGTGAAAATTGGCCCCGCCCCGGGGGTCATTGATTTTCCCTATATGCATATAGTAAAAACTTAAAAAATCTTCTTTTAAAGAACTCGAAGAGCTATGGCTAAGATATTGAGCATCAAACATGTTCTAATAGGTGTCTACCAAGTTTGTTCAAATACAAGCCCAGGGGTGAAAATTGGCCCCGCCCCGGGGGTCATTGATTTTCTTTATATGTGTTTAGCAAAAACTTTAAATCTTCTTTGAAAAAACCCAAATAGCTAGAGTTTAGATATTAAGCATGAAACATCTTCTAGTAAGTGTCTACAAAGTTTGTTCAAATAAAAGCCCTGGGGTCAAAACTGGCCCGGCCCCAGGGACGTCATTGTTTTTAACTATATGTGTATAGTAAAAACTAAAAAAAATCTTCTTTTAAAAAGCCCAATGAGCTAGAACTTAAATGTTTAGCATGAAACATCTTCTTATGGGTGTCTACCAAGTTTGTGCAAATAAAAGCCCTTGGGTTAAATTGGCTCTGCAACGTTGGGGGAGTGGGGGTTGGGGGGGCCTATATACAGGTGAGCGACCTCAGGGCCATCATGGCCCTCTTGTTGATGTAAAATCTCCCACTTGATCATCTAAAAAAAAGTTCACATGACTATACCTGTTTGGAATTACAGAATAATTGTACTATTTAAGAATTTAGCATTTTTTTAAGTAAATTCTTTCTTCAAAAACTGTAATCACACACACTAAAGGTATATCAGGTGTCACAGCTCTTAGGTGTCATAATGTACACTAGTTACGTATTGTGTGAGATAATAATGGCTCTGTTCTCCTACAAGCAAACAGTTATTGATATTTGCATGTATAACATAGCATTTCCTGGTACTTGAATTCTCTAACTAATCAAGATTTTCTAGGAAATTCCAGCAGATAAAATATCTATAGCCAAATAAGGAAAATAGGCATGATTCATAAAAATAGATTCTAGGAAATATCTGCCATGTGTTACATAGAATTGCTAAAAAAAATGCTAATCACTTGAAAGTGCAGACAGATTCATTATTATAGCTGAAATGGTATAGTGAGCTTAACCCTTTAATGTTTTACATTACAACTATTGTTAATCAAAGGGAATTTTTGTAAAAAACTAAAATGTATATAACTTGAAGGCCAGACCACATTATGATATTTGAAAACCAGTAAATAGTTGTCAACTTGTAGTATGGTCCCATCATTTGCACCACCAGCATTTAGAGCCTGCTTATAAACTGTCTTTATAACATAAGTTTATATGAATAGATTAAGCTCTAAAATTAGTAATCACTCCAAAAAGACTTTGTGATATTAAAGCTATCATTTAGATATCTGACTAATTTTATAACTTACCATTAGTTATAATGTACATTAGTATGACAAATTTTAAAAACTAAACCTCAGAACTCAGACTGTTGTGTATACAACCAGAACAAACTTTGATGAATGTTTTTGACTTAATTTACTTAAATGTAGTTTGACTTAAAGCAGTTTGACTTAATGTAGTTTGACTTAATAATGCAGTTTGACTTAAAGCAGTTTGACTTAAAGCAGTTTGACTTAATGCAGTTTGACATGTTGCAGTTTGACTTAATTCAGTTTGACTTAATATAGTGTCTTAATATTATATAGTTTGACTTAATGCAGTTCAACTTCATTCAGTTTGACTAAATGCAGTTTTAACTTAATATAGTTTGACTAAATGCAGTTTTAACTTAGTGTAGTTTGACTCAGCTTGATTTAATATAGTTTAACCTAATACAGTTCAACTTAATGTAGTTTGACTTAATAATGCAGTTTGACATATTGTTGTTTGACTTAATAATGCAGTTTGACATATTGTAGTTTGACTTAATAATGCAGTTTGAAATATTGTAGTTTGACTAAATGCAGTTTGACTTAATATAGTTTGACTCAATATAGCAGTATTTATTTTTATTTTTCTCTGTCTTCTTTATGGATTCTTAATGTGACTGTGTCTTGATGGTTTAAGCTCTCGTTACTCGAAAATTTATCTGTAGATACTGTAAGAAAAATATCAAAATTTGAAAATTACAAAAAACGTGCATCCTAATGCAATGTTATACAAGATAGTTGAAAGTGACACATCTTTGATCACTGTAATACAAGAATATATATAAAGATAGTTTGATGTCTCAAATTATTTACTTGTATCTGATGTTACAAAAATTAGGATGACAAATTTCACAACTTTTATCTGGAAAAAAAAAACAAAAAACAATGTAGGTTTGACAATTTTTGTACAACAATCAGAATTTGTAATAGTTTGAGAATAAAAACTGAGCAGCTCACATTGAATTTAATGTTGTATAAAAATATTTTAATTTATTTATAATTATCAGAGTTACAGCCACTGATTTTATTATGATTATGAAATGAAATCAGTTTAGATATAGGCATTTTTATTTTCGGATATCCTGGACCACTGTATGTAGTTTTAAACGCTTAAACTAGAAAGAATGCAGACTTTGTCAAACATTAAAAGGGACTCCACTGAGGTTTAAAAGCCTAAAAACATAACATTTGAATTTCTTACATAAATTAGCAGGGGTACTTTAAACAGAAATTATATTTGCAAAGATAGTTAAGAAAGATATTTTGAAATAAATTGAAAATCGTATTTTTTTTGCTTTTTTAGCCATATTTGAGTGAAAGCGTTTAAACGCTTTTCATTTTGGGTCATTTTTGGCCGGGTTGCACTGGTGCCAACCCGGGTTATAGTATGGTGAATGTTTGGCGGCGGGCGGGGAAAAAACTTTCTTAACAGTTTTCTCAGCAACTACTTATCACAGCCTTTTGATATTTGGTATACAGCATCTACACATGGTCCCATACTGTGGGATTCGATTTCAGGTCTATCACTCATCCACTTCCTGTTTGCCGACTTAGTTAAATTTTCAACATTAATGTAGTAAGAAATTTTCGTAACAGTTTTCTCAGCAACTACTTATCACAGCCTTTTTATATTTGGTATACAGCCTTATCACGTGGTCGCATACTGTGGGATTTGATTTCAGGTCTGTAGCTCATCCACTTTGCCGACTTAGTTAAATTTTGACATAATTAATGATCAATAGATAGTAGGAAATTTTCGTAACAGTTTTCTTAGCAACTACTTACCACAGCCTCTTGATATGTGGTTCACAGCATTGACATGACTGTGGTCCCATATTGTGGGATTCCATTTCAGGTCTGATGCTCATTCTTTTCTGGTTTAACAACTAAGTTAAATTTTCAACATCAATGGTCAGACAGTGGTAGAAAATTCAAGTAACATCACAGCCTCATGATATTTTGTATACATATGCAACCCGGCCTTTTCTGTCTTTGACCCATTTTTTACAATTTGAATAATTATTCTGGAAAAACCAAGTGCGCGAATGATCTGAAATCTTGCACATAGATTAGTGGTCTAAACCTACATCAAATGGTACATTTATCAGGAAAAAATATTTTCAGTCCCATCATGTCAAAAAACCTCAGTGGAGGTGATGAAACATAAATGAAAGCAGTTTTACATTGAAAAGCTGTTGAGTTGTTTGACTTCATTCAAACTGTATGAACAGATATTAATTGATATTAAGTATGATAGATAAAATATTTTGATACAGTTCTTCTTAGAAAGTTGCAAACTCTTCAGAGAATTGATAAATTGTTTAACATTGATAAACCAAAGGGAGTTAACCTAGCTGCGTAAGAATGTTAATGCACAAAGTAGATTAAAAGTAGATATACAAATGTATTAGCTTTGTTTTGGTATATATATCTAGGTTATTCAAATATAGCAGGATTAAAACGCCCTAATACGGAAGTGAAAAATAACCCAGCTCAGATAAGAAGATTAAAATAGTAATGATGTTTGTGCTAATGACCAAATTAAATGCAGATTATGACGTCATGTCCCGGCTAAATTTTTGCCATGCTTTTAGTATCTGGAATTGGCTATCACAAATTTCAGTGATTTAATTCATTATTGTTAGGTGATGTTTGAGATGTTTGAATATATGCAAAAGTCGTACATGCTTCTAAATATAAAGGATATCGAGTAATGTACAATATGCATGGCTCAAAATTTTCCTAACAATATAATCATTAAACTTGAGGGATACAAATTAATGAAATTTTATGACTTTTGACTCAGGTTTTGACACAAATATTATTAAATATCAACTTTACAAGTGGCCTTTAGACAATCATTGATTCTGTATTTATTTTCTTCCCCTCCGTCAGGAGCTTTATGTAATGTTGAAATAACTTATGTGATCCATAAAATTATGTTAATTATGACTGTCATAATATATTACCATGTCTTTGTTAACGGCTATATATTACAGATCAATATTCACGTTAATGGGGTTTAAAGGCATTCTGTAGGTTTTAAGTCAAGCTTTTTTTCTTCAGTATTTAAAGTTTTGAATTGCAAAAAAAGAGAAAAGGTTTAAGTGACTTATAATAGACTTGTAATGTTTTATAAATGAGGCTTTTTAGTTATATCAGTAAGGAAAGAAAATTATGTCAGGGCCAACAGTTACTTTATTATAGACCATTAAAATACCGGCTCTTCAAATCTAACAATAAAAGCTTGTTACTCAATTGTATTGTTGTAACATGCAATTAGCTAGGGGAAAAAAAAGGAACAAAACATATTTGATGAGTTTTGATCACTTTCAAATGGAAAGGGATATTGAAAATTAAGTTGTAAAATTTCCAATTTAAGTCTGGGAAGGAATAATGATATCTGTCATAATGTTGCGGTTTGGATCGGAATATCTGTCCCAAGGGGGGTCGACCCGCCCATAAGCGGGTTCCAGAGGGATATTTTTTCTTGCATATTCTACCATATTCCATTATATTTTAAATTCTTAACCTTAATAAAACAATTTTCCGTGGAAATTTGTTATTACACCCGTAAACAGGGTATGAAATTACAACTTCATTCATAAAGGTAAAATTAAGTCATCCTAAGCAAGTCATTGCTAATAGCAGGCAACTCATCTGGCAACACCAATTAATGCCAGATGAAATTTCCGGCATAGGTAAAACTAACAGAAACACCAGTCTGATATGCAAAAAAAATATGTATTGTTTTGTAGAGATGGTATTTAAGAGGCTAGCTGTCACAGTTGTAGAGCGGAACCTTGAATGTTATGAATACAGTTAGTAATACTGATATGATGGACGTGGCCTGCTTTTTCACTATACTTATTGTGTTTTTGCCTGTTGATAAGGATGATGAACAGTTTCTTAAATTTTTTTCTATTATTCGCCTTTATTGTGAATCTCAAAATGAGGAGATTCTACAATGTGAGGAAGTCCAAAGCCATCTTAAATTTTCCCATCAAACATCAGTCAGTTCTACCAGCCAAACAGACATTCCTGAAGCTTGACAGAACTTGCGGGTTGTTCTTATCACTTGTAAAGATTCCAATTTTACAATGTATCCCTTTAAAAGTCAGTCAATTTCAGGAAGCCTAGAACAAATTTTAGCGACATTGATGAGTTATCAACTTGTCTACTAAAAGCGCCATATGACCTTAACTGACTGTTGCTGTGCAGCCTTAAACAAAACAAAAAAAGGGAAAAAAGTATGCATACATTCAAGACTAGTTTGGCAGGCTTAGCAGAAGTATTACTTTACATGCAGTGACAGACTTTTTTCCATACCAATTTCATAAATAGTGAAACTAAAAGTCCAGGAATATACTTGAAATAAACGTGCTATGCTTGAAGCCTTTAAATGGCTGAGGAAAAACTTTAAATCTTATCTTGATTAATAATTGAAATTAATATCCATATGTTACCACAGCTTTATTGTATATATTTATATAATTTCCTCAATTCGAAAATAACAAAATCAAATAACCTGTTAATTACATTGACACTAGGAAGTGTTTCGTACAATGTACAGTCAAATCAAATAAATCTAAAACTTTACATCATAAGTTAATTAAGGAACTTGCAGGATTTGTTGTGACCTAGTGGATTAGATGTCTGCCTCTCGACCCAGGGATCATGGGTATGAGCAGGTCGCAACTGTGGTCCAACTTCCTTCATTATAAATGACACCAGTACTGGTTGGTTCCAGGAAGTGGACTCCAAAATGATTAATATAAGTTTCAAGAACTTGTTTTGCAATCGCGCTTAAATAAATATGTATAAACTAACTTAGGAATTGTGACTTAAATGTATTTATTATATTATTTTGAAGATTAATTGTGAACAGTTGCTGTAATAATGACACATGCCTACATTTTCACCAGTTCAGATAAGCCTGACCAGTGTTCACAATCATAAAGCAGGCTCACTATATACTATATATTAGAATTTTAACATCCTTCATATAAGCAATAGATGGTCCGGAAGTCACAGCACAGCCAGTCCATTATGATAAAACACAGTGCTAACTAGTGTCATTTTGTTCTTTAATCTTGATGAGCCTTACATAGTTTATTTTCTCACTTATGGTCAGCATTTTAACCCAATTGACCAGTAATATCACATAGAGTATCCAGGGGGTCTTCCTCCAGCAGTTTAATTCTTTAAGTTGCCCTTTCATTCTTACCCTTATCAAGCTAATTGATCTAAACAGAACATGTCCATCTGAACAAAACCATTCATCATTTTTAGGGAATATTTTAGAAAAATGTATATGAACGAATAATGTACAGTGCAGACATTGACCAGTGCCATTTGATCTTGGTCTGCACTGGTTGCATGGGTAGAATCTGTTACAATCAGCAGAAAAGGGGTTAATTATATACTTCTGTAGCATATAAAAACTCTACATAATAAATAAAAGCTATCCAAATATAGAACAAGACTTTTGATGACTGTGAGGTAAGTTAAGGTCTTCTAATACATCCCTGATATCATAAACTTCCTTCTATTAATGTATTTTACAAACTTAATTGGAAGAGTTTTGCTTTGTATTGAAATATAAATTATTTTCATTTTCCAGGAAACAAAAACGTTTTCTTGTCATCGATGCCTTACAGATGATTCTGGTTGAACCGGATATCAGACGACTAGGCTGGGGCATTGTAACATTTGTCGGATTCCTGCAGGTATATCTATAATATACATGTATTCATTAATAGTCTATGTATTTCTTAGACCTGGTTCCCCTTACCAGGTTGGGCCCAATACTTTGAAATTACCCATAGATATATGTCTTGTATTCTGCAAAGATATTCAAAGCTTGGATATCTTTGCAGAATACAATTAGATATACAGTCAAACGTGTATTAAGCGACCACGCAAGGGAAACACCCAAAACGGTCGCTTAATGAAACGGTCTCTTAAGACAGTCAGCATTATATTAAAGTCAAAATTTATAAATGACATCTTTCTTATGCGGTGAGAATGTTTTTCAACTTCGTTTTTATAAACATGTTGAATAATAAGTACGCTTCGATAATCTAAATGAATGCAAATGTAAAAAATAATTTTCTGATACAATTAAACTTCGTTTGCTCGAACTCGGTTCGCTCGAATACCTCCTTTTGCTCGAACTCATCGTCCAGTCCCGGCAAAATTCCTATATAATATATATTGTTCTACCTCGGATCGCTCGAACACCTATCGCTCGAACTTTCGAACATGATCTCTGGTCCCTTCGGCAGAAATATAGTGTAAATCACACCTTTTCGGTCGAACACAAACAGACAACAAAAGTTGCAGGTCGACATGTTCTAAATAATTGACAGTCGGTGAAACACATGTTTTTAACACCTCATGATCGTGACAAAGGCAATTAAGGTTAATTGATACAAAATAAAAGGTGTTGTAACCGATTTGTTTGTTATGATAAAATTGTATATTTGCCGTCTTTAGTAACGATAAAAAGAAAACAACTCCTGAAATTCGCAAAAGTCAATAAATAAATGACGTTTACCCGGACGGCTTTAATAACAACAGTGGTTCATGTATCGTGAATTGTCAGTGTAATCTATTTATAGAATGATACTTGTACGTGTTTATTTTAGTAAATGACTATAAATATATGCTGCTGTAAAATGTTATTTTTTATATTTAATTAATTCATTGTTTAAAATAAAATAAATTCCATAATAGACATATAAATATATTTTGAACATTGTTCACAGTTTGGATAATGATCGCCCAATCGAACTCAACCAATTACAATATGCATAAATATAGATTAACACAGTGTACCGTTAATATTGTTTTCAATAGGATCATAATTCTTTATATGACGTATTCGACAAACAGATGTTCTAACAACAATTATATTGACATATTTATCATTTGACCTATGTAAGCTGGAAAACCTTTAGATATGTTTTCTATGTAATAATAGTTCAACCTCGCTTGGCTCGAACTACCGATCTCTCGAACAAATTTTCACAGACCCTCCGAGTTCGAGCGAACGAAGTTCGACTGTATTTATTGACAAAACAGTTTTGATCCATTACGTACATGTTTGACATTTTTTCCAGAATATTTTAACTTCGCTGTTGTTTGTCCTTGATTTCAACACAAAAACCCTAGTGAAGATATTTTCTGTTGTGCATTTTTTCATTTGAAATAAACAAACTACATCGAATTGTTACGATTAATTTAATTCCTGATCAAGTTCAAGGTCAATTCATTGCAGTCTAAATGTCAACAAGCGTAGCGTATACACCATCTCATTATTGGATAATACACGTCACTTCATTTGCATACGCTAAAACGGTTTGGGAAATAGAGTTTTTAGCACGTTTATTTGTTGTATTTTGATTGTTGACACTTGAGACATTACGAGGTGGCGTTCTCTAAAAACACAGTTACTTGACAGGTAAAAGTGGTTGTCTAATGAAAAGATTTATCTCAATTAGGTGACTAATTAGCGGTCACTGGTCGCGTTGAGCAAAAGTCGCTTAATACATGAAATATATAGAGAGAAAATGATCGGGGGGAATTTAAAGTGGCCGTTTAAGACAAAAGTCGCTTAATACACGTGGTCGCATGGGCAAGTTGGACTGTATCTATGGGTTGTAATATAGGTATGGAGATAAAGTGTGCTAAGTAGCTTACTGTAATAGAATGAAACCTGATTTCCTTGTGTGCTTAAATTATTGCCCAACAGAATCTGCGGTGAAGCTCCATTTACAAAAGTTGAAGAGTCATTATGACTCTCTACCAAGATTGTTGGCCGGGTTACACAGGTGCAAACCCCGGTTATAGTATGGTGACTGTCGGGTGGTTGGGCAGGTGGCAGATGGCGGATGGGGAAAAACTTTTCGTAACAGTTTTCTCAGCAACTACTTATCACAGCCTCTTGATATTTGGCATACAGCATTGACACATGGTCCCATACTTTGGGATTTGATTTCAGGTCTGTTGCTTATCCACTTCCTGTTTACCAACTTAGTTAAATTTTCGACATTAATGGTCAATGGTAGGAAATGTTGGTAACAGTTTTCTCAGCAACTACCTATCACAGTCTCTTAAAATTTGGTATACAGCATTGACACATAGTCCCATACTGTGGGATTTGATTTCAGGTCTGTCGCTCATCCTTTTCATGTTTACCAACTTGGTTAACTAACCCTAACCCTAACAGGAGTTATGGGTTTAACTTAATGTATATAGAAAGACCTTAAAAAAATGTTTGTCTGTGGAAGTAGAAAAGCTAGAACTTAGAAATTTTGCATGAAACATCATCTTGTGGACCTCTACCAAAGTTGCTGAAATTATGACTCTGTGGTCAAAATAGCCTTGCCCAGGAATATTAGTTTTCCTTATAATGTATACTTTAAATTTTCAAAAGTATAGGTAAGTCATGACTAGTAGATGAGCTGTATTGATTTTGAAGTCAAAGGTCAAGATCACAGTTGCCTTACCACTTAACCTGTGCCCAGCTCATTACTATAGAGAATGTTTTATTACCCTTCCAGATTTTTTCCGCCTTTTTGATTGGATATTGATCACCCGAAAGAAATTGATATAACCGAGCCAGATGGGTAATATACACACTAAATTTCCCCGTTGGGTACCCAACGTTGTAAACAACATGCGCTGAGGTGATGCGCGTACGGTTCGATTTTACGCGGTGTAAATTCCGATTTACAAGCACTTTTTAACTGTCAAATAAAAAATATTTACAAAAATAGAGTAATGATATATATTCACATCAGTATTGAAAACAAATATGACCTTGTGAAAGCTTGATATTAATAACAAAAAAGTGCGTTCAAACGACTACTCCTTTTATCTTGTTTACATTCGTTAGGTACGGGAAAAATACGTCATGTATTTATGTGACGTCATGTTGTGACGAAGAGGTACCCTAAAGGGAATCTTATTTCGACGTTTCATTTGAAACAGCAATGATTTTTTAAAAAATCGTCTAAACTCTGCAGGGGAAGGGTAATAAGATAATTATTTTGGTTTTGGAGTGATATATGTGGATATATTACCTGCCAAGATAAAATATCACCCTCGCCTAACGGCTCGGGTGAAATAAAATCTTAACAGGTAATATATCCACATATATCACTCCAAAACCAAAATAACATTATAATACAATTTAGTACCCAGGTGAGCACTTTTGGCCTATATGCCCTCCTGTGTGATACACATGTAAATCTTCCTAACCCAAAAGAACTAACTTCCTTGTTTCACTTCTGAGAAAACATACAGATAATATAACACAAATGTAAACATGTAAGTTTTGAGTAAGTTAATATAGTATTATTGTACAGCAATTATATTTAGTCATGAGATGAATAAAGCAATTGAGTCAGCAGCTGTTTTTACGTCTTTTTATACGAATATATAAACCATTGAATCTGTTTAAATTACAATTAGATAAACAATAATTGTCTTTGGAACCAGTAGGTCAATAATTACCTAAATCACTACTTATAATTATTGCAGACTAATCAAATTCTGCATTATCTAGGGGGTCAATAGTCTACTGTGCAAAGATATAAGATAAAATAAATTTGTAATTCCTTGAAGAGACACATTTCCATGTACTAAATTAGGTCATTATAAATGTAAGTTAAACATGTATATTATATTAAGATATTTTTCAATTAGTGTCAAGTGCTATAGACCGATATAGAGGTTTTTCCTAGAAAGAGGGAATCACCAATTTATAGTATATAAGTGTGTCACCGGGCTTCCTGCTACCTTTTACGATAAATTATTTTTTTAAAAACATTCTTCAAATGGTAAGATAGATAAGTCTTCAAATGGAGTTATTGGATAACAACAATCATAATTGGTAATGGGATAAATTGGTCAAGGATTGCATGTAAATGAGTATTCTGTGCATTTTGTAAAATACAGTCATGTTTTGTTCATGTAATTTGTCAAAGAATAAAAATAGTGGTTATGTACAGTATGAAGTTAGACCAAATTTTTGGGGTCTTAAGCTATATATCTCGGCCCACTTTTATTTTTGTTTACTTCAAGCTGCTAACTGGTTTTAAATGTTAAAACGTGATTACTATATATTTAAAGACTTGAACTTAATTTCTTTTATGAAGCTATGTAGCTTAGCTTTTGACTTAGGTGGGTTATTCTACCCAGGTATTCAAGGAACAGATTAAACCTAACAATTTGCCAAATTTACCTAATTTGTGTTGGTTCAGCTTTAAAGTTCAATTCCAAAATAAAGATTGTTTAAATACATCTTAACATGAAAATACACATACAACCTCTATCTCAACATATAACCTCTATCTTTGCATGAAAATACACATATAACCTCTATCTTTACATGAAAATACACATATAACTTCTATCTTTACATGAAAATACACATACAGCCTCTATCTTTGCATGAAAATACACATATAACCTCTATCTTTGTATGAAAATACACATATAACCTCTATCTTTACATGAAAATACACATATAACTTCTATCTTTACATGAAAATACACATACAACCTCTATCTTTACATGAAAATACACATACAACCTCTATCTTTACATGAAAATACACATGTAACCTCTATCTTTACATAAAAATACACATTCAACCGCTATCTTTACATGAAATTACACATACAACCTTTATCTTTACATGCAAATACACATACAACCTCTATCTTTACATGAAAATACACAGATAACCTCTATCTCAACATATAACCTCTATCTTTGTATGAAAATACACATATAACTTCTATCTTTACATGAAAATACACATACAACCTCTATCTTTACATGAAAATACACAGATAACCTCTATCTCAACATATAACCTCTATCTTTGCATGAAAATACACATACAACCTCTATCTTTACATGCAAATACACATACAACCTTTATCTTTACATGCAAATACACATATAAATTCTATCTTCACATGAAAATACACATACAACCTCTATCTTTACATGCAAATACACATATAAATTCTATCTTTACATGAAAATACACATACAACCTCTATCTTTACATGAAAATACACATTCAACCTCTATCTTTACATGTAAATACACATACAGCCTCTATCTTTACATGAAAATACACATATAAATTCTATCTTTACATGAAAATACACATATAACCTCATTATTCTGCTTCATCTTTTTAGAACATAGAAGTGACTGGAGATAAAGAAGACAGTCGTTCACTACACATCACTGTACATAAACCGGCATCATCACATCATGCAAGACCTGTTCCACTGCTTGCCGCAAGATTCATATTTGACGATCATATACGTTGTATGGCTGCGAAACAAAGGTTAACGAAAGGTCGTATGAAAGCGAGGCAACAAAAGATGCAGATGATAGAGAAATTGTTAGACATTCCAGCTGAGACAGCTAGCCATGGAACATTCAGTAGATCAGGTCCAATCCCAGGTAAATTCTTTACACATAGAATTAAATAATTTAATCAAATATTCTATGATATGTAAGGGAAGAAAGCAAAAAATAATATGATGGCTTGTTCTATATAAAGTTTACATCTAGTTTGACTAATATGTTTATAGAGTGATTGTTTTAAACACTATTCTTTGGTCTGATGTCAGTTGTTTATTTGTCAGGAAAATGAAATTTGTCAACGTTAAAATAAAAAAAAACAATAAGGAAACCCCTCGAGACCTCTAATTTACAGGTCCGCTCTCTATATTTTAATTAGTAAAGCTAAATTATTAGCCTCCCAGGGCTTTATTGGAAGGTTTCTGAAACTTCCCCTCGAGAATGTTTGTATTGGTGTTCATTTCAGGTCGTGTTCACCCAGTAAGAGCATCTGCTAGTGTCACAGAAAGGAGATCACAGTCTTCTACTTCATTACATTCAGAAAGCAGGTCAAATGATCATACTTCTAGCCAATCAGGAGCAAGTACTGGTGTACTCAAATCTTCATCTGGTGATCAACAACATCATCGCACTGAGAGAGCCGAGTCTATTTTTGTAGAACAAGGAACTGAGTCGAGTACAGGCATTCAGACTTCAAAATTGGAAGTTAATACAACAGATACTGTAGATGATGTAGAAGTAGCAGAAGAAGCAACGTCTGAAATGGCTTTTCAAAGTTTACATCAAGCACCAAGTGAGATTGCCAACAGACACGACTCAAGTTCCCATGAGGGAAGTCCTGCCCCACAGGAGATTCCACTGGAAGACATGTCACGGAAAATGAAATCAAAACGTAAGGAACAATTAACTCGGGCGAAGTTAACTAAATCAAGACTAGCAGCAGAGTTACGTATGCAACAAGAGCAGTCGAGAAGCAATTCACAGAGTCCCAAGAGGAAACCAAGCTCAGAGAGTGTGACAAAGGTCAAACTGAGAGGTCGGTCAACTTCGTTAACAGATACACATGATAGTAGTGGACGAAGTAGAAGCGGAACACCAGAGAGACGTTTCCATAGTGAAAGTAGTCCTTTACCCTACTCCTCTAATTCTCATCATTCCTATAGATTGAAGAAAAAATCCAAAGAATGTCAAACACAAACTAGTATGCATGCTGAAGCACGTTCGTCCCGTAAAGACATTAAAGAAAGTTTGTTAAAATCCGATACTCCGAAAACATTAACACCCGCACCTTCGCCACCTGTGTCACTTGTGCCAAAGACAGATTTCGAAACTCCAATTAAAGATTCGCCAAAATTAATGCCACCAGTTGATGAAGATAGGGCTCGAAGTTTTAGCGATATATCCCAGGTGAGTAGTGAAAATGATATGTCATCACTTAGTAGTAGTAACAGGAGTTCGGACAGTTTGAATCCTCCAAATCTAGGGCTAGATGTCCCTGTGGGGGCCGGTGCAGAAATGACAACAGCCACTGTTAAAGTTGAGACTCTAAAACCTCCTCAAGTTACAGGAGGTAAAACAGCATCAGATAAACTTACCCAGTTGGCTCAAATCGTTCAACATTATAACTTTGACGGAGAAGAAGAGGCCACCACTGATATAGATAAATAAAATTAACAAGAAATCACTTACAAGCTTTGATTGCTTTTAAAAACTTTACATGTAGTGACAAAAGCTTAGTTGGATGGATGCTTGACTTTGTGTTGTCAAACATTGTAGCCATGTGACACAAAATATATGAGGGTGCAGGAAGAACCTTTTGTTTAATTAGGCTTTAGAAAAGTCAAAATTCATAATTCATTATCAATTAAGTGTATCAATTATTTTCAAGTGTTTCTATGAGATTTTGAGATTAAGTACAATGAATTCATAATATATTGCATGTGTCATAGTTTGTGAGATTTTATTTTATAATGCAAGAATTTGCATAATGACATTGTTAACTATTTATTGTTGATTAATTGTGTCATCATTGCATATGTTATGATTTTTCAGCTCATTGTTTCTTGAAAAATTTAAAAAGAAAATTTAATGATGGAGTTGATTACTTTTATTTGTGTACATGTAATAAAATTAAGGGACATAATTAGGTATGCATTTTCACAATAATGAAATCTTTCTGCTTTCTAAAGCTGCAGTACGTAAAAAAATATGCTCAGGCCAGTGTTCTGAGAAGTTGAATGATTATCATAAAATCAAATAAAACAATTTGCACATCTGTTTGTGTTGGTGAAATAAGGAGAAAATATTGGTCCACATGGCCAAACTGTACTGAAACTGATTTGTAATTTTTGCACTTAGGTTTGCATTTTTGTTTTAGAATTGTAAGGTGAACGCATTCAGATTACTTCTTCTAGGAAAATCTATTTTTGTTGGTTATTGAATAGCTGGAAAAAAGATTAATTTAACACCTGTATGTTTAAATGTATGACTTGGAATATACAATACAAGTTATCTATCACAGTAAAATAGGCTGAAATAAATGAAAAAATGGGCAAGATTTAAAAAAAAAAATAAAAAAATTAGGAAATATATCACGAGTACAAATGAACTATTTATAGCATCAACATCATCGAGGTACATCAAAACTGCATTGTACAAAATGATATGATGTATGTTATATGTTTTTTCATTGTCAGATGTTTTATAAATGTATATCAGGTTTTAAATTGCAAAGGTCATTGTATTATATGTAAAATTTCATGGAAAAAATATGTTTGCTTTTTTAAAGAGGTGATTTACTTTTCTAGGAAATAACAAAGTGTCTGAGTCATGAGGAATTAACATTATTTGGTTTCTATTATTGTCGGTCAGTGGCGTGTATTTTGATAACATAAGTGACATAAAATTAAAAGAATTTGTTGTTGATGATTGTTGACCTTTTAAGTTTTGTTTCCTTAAAACCACTGACTGAAACAAATTGCTTAAAATTACTATAAAAGTTAGGTACAAGGTCATGATCGCAGCTCTTGCAATATTGTTAGAATGGAAAACGCCCAGTCTACAGATGTAATGTTTGTGCAAATACAAGTCTTAGAAAGGAATACATTTGTCCGAGACCAAAGTCTCAAATGATAAGAGCCACGCCATGACAAAACCAACATAGTGTGTTTGCGACCAGCATGGATCCAGACCAGCCTGCGCATCCGCGCAGCCTGATCAGGATCCATGCTGTTCGCTATCAGTTTCTCTACTTGTAATAGGGTTTGTAAGGGAACTGCATGGATCCTGATCAGACTGCGCGGATGCACAGGCTGGTTTGGATCCATGTTGTATGCAAACGCACTATGTTGGTTTTGTCGTGACGCAGCTCAAATTTTTTAATATGACATATACGGAGAAATCTTCACCCTGAGTGCAGTAACATGTTAAATCATATTAAATAACAAAGGAGTTAACCTGTTATTGTACTTGGGTGACAAAATATGCATTAACTTACTACTTCCAACTGCAGCCGGCATGGCCTCTTACCTTAGCTGTAACACATGGATAAAACTTTGTGTCAGCTTGCATATTTCCCATTATGAATGAAATCTCTTTTTTCAGCTTTTTCAAGTTTTGAAATCCCTAAAATCAACAAAAAAGAATATTGCTCATCATTCAAGATAGGGGAGAAATTTATTACATGATATAGTAGACAGACTGGTTAAGATATTTAACGAAATTGACGGCTTGCATACAATTTGTATGATGTAATTTGTCTTTTAAATTTGTTCACAGCATTGTATAATGATGAATTGGTGGGTGTAGTTTTATACTGAAATTTAATGTTTTCTGTATATGTGGATTTCTTTAGAACTCTGCTCTTCACCATAATAAATCAAACTTTCGTTTTAATGAATTTTCTTTTTATTTGTTAAGATTAAACAGGATAAAATATAAGGATATTTTTGTGTTATTTCTTGGAATTTTAAGGTCATATTTTTTTTATGACACAGTTCTTATTTCTGATATAAAATTTCATCCTCGAAACCTAGTTTATTTTAATGTTACATTAATCTAAATGTAAATTCATCGAAATGTATCTTCCGATGATTTTTAGGTTATAAAAAAGATAATAGTAAAATTGAACTATAACAGATGGTTTTACATGATAAATAACAATAATGTGTCGGCCGGGACAAGTCGTTAAAATGTCAGACTAGTATTTTAAGGATCACTCGCCGCGTGGGTTCAAACCATGTCAGGGACAAGCTGTTGGTTTCTTTAATAGCAAGAAACTCCACACTTCTGCTTAGGACCGTTTGGTTCAAGGAACAGATTCAAGAGTGTGTGCTTATAGTTTCCTACACTATCTTTATTAACTAAATAGCTATGATAATAATAATAAAAAATTTCCAACATTGTGCACCTTAATATATATTACATCAGTTGTAAGCCTTTCACATCAGGCCCTTGTGACATTTTATTTCATATTGACACATTTAGTTTATATAGACGTGATTTTGAGATAAAAATAGATGAATTCCTGGTAGAAAGATTTTTTATTCATACTTAGAAATAACATTTTAAATGTCATGTGGCCAAGCTAAACTATTTTAGCGTGATGTTCCAGATTCTAGACTTGTACTGTAGACTGTAGGTAAAACTTTATTTTTTAGGCAATGTACGCGGTTGCACTGTATACTTACAAAGGTCATCGATTGTTAATGCTTAATCTTGAATTTACCCATGTGACCAGTGCAGACCAAGATTAGAACTGGCACATTCATGCCATCTTATATCATGGTCTGCACTGTTAGAATTCATTTAGTACTTATTTTTGATATATTATATTTCCCTAAAACTGATAAATGGTTTTGTCCAGATTAAAAGATAGACAAGTCCATTTAAGATATTTAGGTGTCGAGCATTAAGCTACATGTGTGTTACTACATGGTAAAAATAAAATGTCTGCTTTACTGTCATTCAGACCGACTTTATGCTCACGAAAACAAGGACACTGCATTCCTCCCACGTTAGCTGATAATGTTTTGTCCCCTAAATCTAAATGTTTATCTGCTAACTCAGGCTAAAAAATCTTACCCATTTTACAAACCTGTTTGTGCTAATTTTGTCCATAAAGGCCTGACTTGCATGGTGTAATTTTGATTTTTAATGTGACACACACTTTCCTTGTATTTTGTTTTTTATCTGATCTTTCTGCAAAATGTCAAAGTTTTAAATAGAAAAATGTTGAAAATATCACATGCAGTTGTTATTCTGTGACTTATTTGATGTGTACAAATAGAGAAATGTATCAAATTTCTTGTTATAAAATGTAACATTTTTTAATTTCAAATGCTATTTTATTAATAATTATGAATTGTTTACTAATGTACTCGTCTGTAATGTTAGACATTTTATTTTTTGCTCAATAATTGAAAATTAATGATTTCACGGAAATTCAAATGATTTTACGGAAATTCAATTTCCTGGAAAATGTCTGCGACTAATTCATTCCAAACACGTGATAATAATAATAATAGCATTGTTTATTACACATACAGCCTCTATCTTTGCATGAAAATACACATATAACCTCTATCTTGAAATGAAAATACACATATAACGTCTATCTTGAAATGAAAATACACATACAGCCTAATTATGCAGTAATGCAGTAATGGATGAAAGAGCATCTTGGAGTGAAGCAAATCGAGGGTTGACCACAAAACTGCAGTAACTTACATGAAATTAAAAAGGACTTACTACATTTTTGCTATCAACCCTCGACATATTACCCATATGCAATTAACCATCCACAATGCTTGGCATTTTCTTTATTCCTTCAAACTCTGCACTATAATAATGGAGACTCTAAAAACAAAGAAGTAACTTGCATGTTCTTAGCAAGTGTATGTCAGATTTTAATTTATTTAGAAATGCATGGAAACAGACATATTTTCATCAACTATAAGTGTTATAGGAAATAATGACATTTACAGGAAATGTGAAGACAAAATGGAAGCTGTTCTTTTGAGACATGGTGTATTTGATTGGATGTGCTTAGCTTCGTATATTTTAATTTGAAAGTTTAATTCCATGTCATATATCTTAAAACTTGTGATTTTAAGAATGGGGCTCAGGCTTTAATCTTTTCCATAATTTAATCATAATACTATTTCAATGTGAGCTTGATAAAAAAGATTTCCTACACAGCATAACTGTTAACCGCTAATCTAAGCTTAGCACAAGTACATGCACATTAAAATACCAATATATATATATATATATATATATATATATATATATATATATATATATATATATATATATATATATATATATATATATGGGTGGGGGGACAGGATGTACATACTCATGCACATACTCAACCTATCTCATACCAAGGTGAGTTAGCACTACAGTTTATTGTATTTAAGCTAAGTACCACAATTTGTCCCCTTTTATTAACTCTACCTAACCCACATCCCCATGTCAAGCTGACTTAATAGCAGTACATGGTTTATATTTTGGTTCACAATACCTTTAAGATGCATAAATCTGACTGTTTCCAGAACAGACCAGAAAATTGAGGATGGATCTGAATCTACCATTGTGATCAATGTATGATATTTTCAGATGTATTCTGATGATTACATTCACATAATATTCACATAATATATATTACAGATTATCAGTATTGTTAATCAATATTCATGTCCATTTACTAGAACAAGGTTTCTCATTGGTTATCAAGGGAAATGATGAATTTGTCCTCTAACTTGAGGATTAAATACTCTGTGTATTGCTGATACTATCATTATGTAAAATTGTCCTACTTATTTAAGGAGAATAAATCTATTATCTAATTTCATGGCCATGTTGAACCTTTGTAAGCTTGACTATTTAAAGAATAGGGAGAGCTATTATACGTACCCCTGTCACACTTTGATTAAGTTTTTGCTTGCTAGTTGGTATCTCCAAAACTACTTGAAGGGATTTTGTTGAAACTTCACAATGTGTGTGTGGCCGGTGATAATCTCACATGATGGGCACAGGTCACATAACTCTGAGTTACCTTTTTTTACAAAGTTAAGCCCCTTTATTTACTGTCTAACACTGAGAATTGTCTTAACATGCTGTCTTACTGACAACTCTTGTTATCGGATATTTCATACAGCCCTAAGCACTATTAACTAAAATTAATACACCAGTCAACAGTTAAATCCCCTTGCAAGCCCCTAACTGCTGGTATAGGGGAAGGGGCGGGGGAATCTGTGATGATCTGATCTATAATCACACACTGTGAAAAGGTCCAGCCCTTTTAGTAAAATCTCTTAGATTTTGGTGAATGTTAACTGTGATTAACCCAGCATTGTATACAGATCAAACTACTATCCTTGTTAGTCAAATAGTTCAGTTACTTTGAATATAAATGTACCATTATACACATGTATATTCTATATGTACACAAATATAGGATTAGGGAGTCTTAACTTTCTTTACTTTATGAAGTCAAATGAAAAATGTGCACCTACTTGTCCTCCAATGTGATTATGTTAAATGTAAAAGCTCCACATCCAGAGATACCATGTATAATTATGTTACATAGTTAATATCTGGTTGTTTTTGTCGTTTTTATTAGAAAAAAATGGCATTTCATTGATGAAAATTGAAAGAAAAGTATGTCCTTAAACTTTAATTCTGTAACCTGGTCAGGGATTGTGCAATATGATTTAATAACAATGTAGTAATATTTATATTAAAGGGACTCCACTGAAGGTTTTTTTCTTGAAATTATTTTTTCCAAGATTTTTTATACCATTTGATATAGGTGTCTACCAGTAACTGAATTGTGTTTAAATTTTCAGGTCATTTGCTCACTTTGTTTTTCTGGAATAATCATTTTTATTGTACAAAATGACCTAAATGAAAAGTTTTCAGTTTTTAAGATTTTTTACCTCAGTGAAGCTCCTTTAAATTATTGATGTTTTTGCTTTATCATTTGTATTTCTTGTATTTATTATTTTGTATTTGTCATTTATTATGAAATGCATTTTCTTATTTTACAGAATGTTCACATCATCTACTCCTTTTTTTTCCTTTTTTTTTTTCTTTTTTTAACTTTTATAGCAGCATGCCTCCAGATTCATGCTTATTTTCATGAAAACTTTGAAAATGTATTTAAAAGTTAAATATTGTGAAGTGAACAAAGAAAATTATTTGCACATTACAGTCGGCACTTACAATCCACATAAATTACCAGAAAGAGATCAGAATATTCAAAAATATCTGGCCCTTACTATGTTAGTCACACAGTAGAAACATGGTGATAAATACTGCAAAATCAGCCAATAATATCTTATTATCACACATGGCATGTATATCATTACTTGAATCTTTATTTTTCTTAAAATCTTGGATGTTCAACACTTTTCTGATGTTTGATTTTCTTGAAATAGTTTTGCTCATCTGAAGGCATGCAGCTTTATTGTTTTAATTTTATAAGTTTAAAGCTGCACGTCTCCAGATGAGCTAAAATATTTCAAGAAATATAATCTTTAGAAAAATGTATTAAGACCTTAAGAAAAGTAAAATGAATCAATATTTGATTAATTATTTACTTATTTACATATACTATGTGCTATTTATGACTGATTTTACAGTAATATTCACTATAATTCTACTGTGTTACTAATGCAGTAAGAGGTATTTTTGCATATTTTGACCTCTTTTTGGTAATTAACATGGATTGTAAGTGTCGTTTGCTATGTGTAAATTACTGTCTTTGTTCACTTCACATTACTTTAATTTACATTTAAATACATTTTTAAAAGTGTCATGAAAATTAGCATGAATCTGGAGGCATGCTGCTTTAAGTAAAGAAATGGTAATAAATATATGAGCCGCGTCACGACAAAACCAACATAATGGGTTTGCGACCAGCATGGATCCAGACCAGCCTGCGCATCCGCGCAGTCTGATCAGAATCCATGC